CCCTCATGATTTTGTATGCGATGGCCGAAACGTAGAATGCAAGAGTGCTTCATTAGGTTGGGATCCATCTAGACAGATTTGGACTGCGCGCTGGCAGCACGTCAAGTTCGACCAGGCTGCAGGCATGATTCATCATCTGGTGCTAGCCATGCACTCGCCTGGACGAGTTGACATACTATTGCACGACCATGCCTTCGGTATTGCACGCCAGGGTGTGAGAACCAACATATGCGGATATTCCATTACCGTGAATGCAGGACGTGGAATTCTATGCCCGAAAGAAGCTTGCGAGAAGATGTTGCGCAAAATGACGGATGCACCGGGCTCTTGCATGCAACTGCAAGCATGGGAAACTCGTGACAGCTTTTTCGCACGCCTGATTTGTGAGGAGTCTGCTAGAGAAGGCACAAAGCCAGCGGCACACTGCTACCGGAATGTCCCCTTGGCTGGGAAGTCTGCAAGCTCAAGGGGTAGGTGCTTGCAGAAGTTGGCTTTCGAGGTGGACCGAATCATGCACCCTCATTGTATAATGGAAGACACCGCAGGGGAACCGGATCTCGTGGGCAAGGCGCAGCATCGACGTGGCTTCGCGCGGGGCAGCGCCGATTGGTTTCGCAATTCTGTCAGAGTGGAATTCAAAAGTTCCAAGCTGCACTGGTCCGCATGCCATTCTTGCTGGTTTGTGTCTTTCCATGGTGTCAAGTTTTCGCTTTCCGCTTCAGCAGTAGGGGCTCCCGCGTTTGATGAGCTGTGGTTGGGGCTGTACAGCCCGCTAGGGCTTCATATAGTGAAACACGTCAATGGTTTTGCCGTCTCAGCTCATGGTACACGAACACAGACCGACGGCCATCAAGTGACAGTGCGTGGCCCAAGGGAGGCGAGGGACCCCATGGCTGCGTTGCAGGCTATATTGGACAAGTTTCGTGGAGCAAGCTGTGAGATTTTGGCTATCATCACTTGGTGATGCCACGCACAGAGCGTCCGAAAACGGAGCCTGGGGCACACTGCGAGATCGCTTGGCTGCTGCTGTGGTAGATATACCCGGGTCAGGCGGCGCAGACAGAGATGAAGATTGAAACGACTGAGTGGGAACAATGTGCCCAAGTGATGCAAGCAAAACACAGAGCGCGAGGCATCGGTCCTGAAGAGCTTGATGTGTGTCGTAGGTAATTTTAATGTAGATCTTCGTCCATGAGCCTGCAACCTCGAGTGGTGCTGGAGCAATGAAGAACTCGGCGAGGAAGTGCCACTTCCGGGCTGCTTCGATCAGTGGGTGGATCTGAAGGTCATGTGTCTCGGCTGTTTGGTTTCCTGCCGAGCCTTGGCATATCTGCATGTTATCTAAGATATCTAAACTTGGGAGTTACTCAGGGTTCAGACCTTGCCCGCTTCTGTATGTGCGCGTTCGCCTGCAGGGTGGAGGACTCGAGACCTCATTGTGGCTCTGGGTTTGACGGCTAGACTTCTGTCACTTCTGTCCGTTTGAGACCGAGGTTTCAGCGACATTACCGACGCGAGCCCAAAGGCGAGGAGCTTGTCACTGTCATGGTGTGTAGGGGCGTCTTCTACGGATGACCGCCAGCAGTGTTTAGTCAGCCATGACAGAACCCAAGGAGTCCCCCTATTCCCTATCTGGTGACACTAGCATCTAATGAATCCATTCGAAAGGAAATCTGCCAAGCTTGGTTCCAGCTGCTTCAGCACCTTTTTTGCGGTGTGCCACTGTATTCAGGACGAACTGCTCGAAAGCTTGGAAACGCAGAACCCTGACTCTATATCTTTCCCCAAAAAACCACGGATCTCTTGTCAGGTTGCAATCTTGATCTGCAGTCATATCAGGGTTGGCACGCCATTCTTACGGGTGGTGTCTGTGTTCGTGCACCATCACATTACGTGCTCGGGCTTATTTCACGTTGAGATCCACACCGCGTCAGCATCGTTCCTCGAGATGCGAACGCCTACCCGAAATTTGAAGAAGTGCCTGCGTGAGCCCACAGATAGCCTGCTGTACAGAGTCCAATTCTGCAGTGTTTCGAAGGTGGCTTGCAGAAGTGTGTGGAAAGCCTTGGCCTCACTTTCGAGGCATGCCGGGATGACAGCGGCCACTGAAGTTGCGGTTCGGTTTGGGCGGATTGGGTGCATTTCTCGCTGGGTGTTCCCTGGGAGTCGTTTGTCATCTGCTTTGATTTAGCAGTTGCAGCATAAGCCTTGGGTTCAAGAGGTCGTAGCATTTAAATCAGCACCTGTCGATGACGGCTTGGACCCCTGCAGCCCGATAAGACAGAAGGAGACAAGCTTCGAGCCTCCTTCACCACCGTGGTACTGGACCCAAAGCAGGGCTCGACTATCAGATCACGACATTCTCAGGACTCGTTATAAGTTACAACACATTGCATACAACACAGGCATTAGCGACAAATTGCGAGTTGAACAGCGGAGAGAGACACAGGGAGACAAAAACAAGCAGGGGTGTATAAAGAAACCATAGCTTTGAGATCTGCTATCACTGGCGGCGGTTGGCAACTCTCGTATGTCAGGTGTTACTTTCATATCCTGGTCACAGTGAAGCCACAGAAGGCAAGAGCGAAAGTCCAACATTGCCAGGGTCGGGCGCACGACGGCCTTATCGACTGTCGGAACACCGCTGCAATCGTGCTGTGCCTACGACGGGGATCCGGGGTCCACGCATGGGTGCCAGAAGTGTTCGCCCGGGCATTTCGCATGGTGGATCTGACTGCATTTTGGACTGTAGCTGTACCTTGTTAGTTTTGTTGTCTCCGCACGAGCCTCTTTGCGCTCAGGTGCTTCACATGGCACAAGGGTCGATGCTGCATGGCGCCTTTACTTTCCGCCGGGTGACACGAGGCAGGTGGAACAGTTGAGGGTATGTATCAGCAGTAAGGGCTTGGGGGTGTAGGGTTTTGCGGGGTTCAGGGTTTCAGCGGTCTGGGATACAGGGAGTTGCAGGTTTAGGGTTTGTGGCCTGTAGGTTTAGGGGTTTCAATATTTTATGTTTCATTTGTAAGCACCGAATATTTAGATGCGAAGCCCGGTCAAACTCAAAGCCCTACTAGAGTTGCAATAAAGTAGTATGCAACCCTATACAAGCAGCTAAAACCCTGTAGACCTCTTTACGCCCTGGAGTTACACCGTCAGCCGACCTAGAGGCCCTAAGTAATTAACCTCGATTGTAAACCCTAGACCCCCAACCCTGTTCCCAGAGAGCCCAATACTCCAGGGAAGAAACCTTAAACCGTAGGTGCCTTCATACCAATGATGAATTTGCCTTAATATCAATGATGAATTTAAGGCTAAAATTTAAGGTATACATTCCTTAGTTACTCAAGAGGTATTGGGATCTCCGGTACATCCCCACGAGGCCTCGACCGAGATGGCAATGTCTTCGGCAGCCGCGCCCACCGCGCGGCACAGCAGAGCCGGAGGGCAGAAGGAAACAAAACCCGCTGGAAGCTTTGTTAGATTGAGGGCTTCTGTGTCTGTAGGTTTTGAGTTGAGGGCATTATAGGGTTAGGGTGCGGGGCTGGCTAGGTTTGGCTTTATGGGAGTAAATTGTAGATAGGTTCAGGGTTGATGGCTTTAGATTCACGTTGGTTAGGTTTAGGATGATTAAGTTATGGGCTTTATAATTCGCAAGTGGGCTTTCTGGGTTCTGGGCTCCGTGACCTCAGGAGTTTTAAGGTGTTGGCTTGATAACCGCTCTACAGGATAAGGACGTATAAGGCCTAATTTGCTGTTTGCTCTTTTCGTTCTGCCTCGTGTCTGTCCTGCACTGGATGTTCATCATGAGAGAATCTTTGGATTCGAGAGCTTTCTGCTGCACGTTGGGGTGTTCGGGGGTTGCGTTTGCTGTGAAGTGCTGGCAAGGATGTTGAGAGATTGGAACGACGTGCCTCGTAAACTTTGGGTTGGAAGTTTGAGATTCCGGAAAGTGCAGGATCTAGTGAATCTAGTGCTTGATTAGCTCACGTGACCCTAGGATTCCACGGTAGGACTTGCAAAGTCAAACGAAAAGTGTTGCTGGAAGTGTAGTGTACTCAGCCTTTGATGAATTCTGTCGCAGAGGCTTTGAGTCAGTTCTCACAGCTCTTCCCGGGTATCAAGATGGAGGCCGCTTCGATGCAGTGCGCCAAGTTGTGTGGTGTCCGCGTTTGGCTGTCAGAAATTACAGCCGGGAGTCTAGGGGTTGTGCTTGAGTCATGGCTTTTTTAACAAGTGCGGTTGTGGGACTGGAGAGATATTGCTGTTGGTCTTAAAGTTTTCAGGGCCGAAGGTTCGCCCTGCAGTGTCTCCAGTCCCGGAGGTGTGAAGTCCACCAACATGCAAACCAAAGCCCTCCAGCCTCACCCTCGACACTCCATCCCCTCCGGACTGCCTCACCAGGTGTGCCTGGGGCACTTGCCCATGCGGCAAGGCTGGCAAAAGGACCGGGCCAGAACAAAGCCTGAGAGTTAGCGTTAAGCCTTGCATCGTTCTTTGGGTATACAAGCCCCTCAAGTCTGTCACCGTAGCTGCTGGTCAGTATGTGAAGATCTCAATTCTGGAGTCAACTTCTCCCATCTGCCAGGATCTGGCGGACAAAGCGGTTTGAAACAGGCACTTCGCATCGAGGGGCATGCTGATTGGACATGCTTTTTGGGAGAATAAGCCACTAGCTAGCGAGTCTTGAGCTGTAGATGTCCTTGACCTTAGCTTATTGGTAAAGCCCGTGTTGCAACCGAGATCGGATGTCAACTTCATATCGTCTGGAAGGCACCTGTTGGGTCTTGGGTGCTGGTAGCTTTGCAGCTTCGGTTCTTACGTGCATGCTGTTCTGTTGCCCCGGGTCCCGCTCGGAAGTGCAGGTGCTTCATCACAGCACATTCGAGACATTCAAGGCCAGCAGAGCCGGAATTGAGCGAGCTCTGATTGCTAAGATAGGCTGGAGTGTGCAGACCCAGCGTGCGATGTGTTGGTGCCTATTTTACAAGTGTGCTGCTCAGGTGGCTCTGTGTAGGCTTCGATTCGTTCACAGACCTGCCATGCGAATTTCTGTGCTCTCTTCAAAGGCATCTCGCTGCCTCGGGGCTTATGCACCCCTCGTCAAGGGGCAAATTGACATCCAGAAGCGGAAGGGGAAGGGAAAGGCACACCAGTGGATGCTAATGGCCGTTCTCTTGGCCGGATGTTGTCTGCACATTGACCCGGAAACCAACTTCTGCGCCAAGGCGGCAAGCAGCAGGTTGGCAGTCACCCTTGGCCACCGAAGCTTCAGATGCCACATCCCTCGTGGAGTCCGGGAGCGAAGGCGCCAGCAGGATCGCAGCCAAGATGACGGTGAGGCGCGACGATTGACGGCACAAATCACGAAGGCCGGCTCAGCTTCGGAGTTGTTCGCACTTCTGGAGAAACCAGTGACGAATGCCGCCCTCTTCAACAGCTTCCACATCTCCGCAGCCATGACGAAACTTGCCAGGTTCAAGAAGAGGCGCCAGCTTTGCCAGGCTGATGTGAGCAGCCCTGTGTGGGCCCAACTCTCAATCAGAATGCGTGATATGCTGCAGCAAGACCTGCTTCCGCCACGCGAAGCAGCCAATGTGTTCTATGCCGCAGGTGAACTTTATCAGGAAATGGGCCAGCACTTGACAACGGTGTTGCCCCTGCTTTGCGAGTCTGTTCGCAAGAAAGCTGCTGGCATGGCAGAGCAAGCACTCTCCAACTGCCTGCTGGCAGTGGTGAAGCTCGTAGATGTATCACGAGATGTGCTGACGGTCGTGCCAGCCCTTACAATGCACATCTCTGCCAAAGTTGAGGACATGACAACGCAAGGACTCTCCAACTGCCTGCTGGCAGCTGCGAAGCTCCAAGACGCATCGCCAGAGGTACTGGACATCGTGCCAGCCCTTGCCAAGTGCTTGCCGGACAAGGTTGGCGACATGATCCCTCAAGCGCTGTCCAACTCCTTGTGGGCAGCTGCGAAGCTTCAAGATCGAGCACCCGAGATGCTTGATGCGGTGCCAGCCCTTGTAAAGCACATTGTTTACAAGGTTGAGGTTGGGCACATGGATCCTCAGGGACTGTCCAACTGCTTGTGGGCAGCGGCAAGGCTACAATATTCAGTTCCGATGGTTTTGGAAGCAGTGCCCACCATAGCAAGGCGCATGCAGGAGATCGTTGACAGCATGAACATGCAAGACTTGTCCAACAACTTTTGGGCAGTGGGGGAGCTCAATGAGGTCGAGCCTGAAGTGCTGACACTGGTGCCAATGCTGATTGGACGCATCCGGCCCCAGATCAAGAGACTGAGGATGGATCAGCTGTCAATGTCCTTGAAGGCTGCTCGGCAACTTGGGGAAGAAATGTTGCTTGCCAAGTTGCAGGCGGAACTCGACCGCCGGCAGCAATGATCGCCGCCAGCAGGCATGCTTTGCACCTTATCTTTAAGACGACGTATGTCCTGTAAAGGTTGCCAGGCCTGCATGCGCAGGCAAGTCCATAATTAATCAGTTGCGTGCATGCCTTGTGCACTTTGATGATCGTTTTTTGTCGAATGGGAGCTTGAAGCTGCCAGGCGGCGCACGCTTTCACTCCACTTGTGCACCCCGGCCCTCCCTGTGCCCTCCGGGAGCACGTGGGGTCTTGAGTGCAAGGGTATGCGGGGTTGCTGCCGTTGTAAACTGATGTCCCAAACCCCCTTCAACAGCACATTGCTTGGCGCATGCCTCCTACCTTCCTGCCCTATGGAGGTTTGCAACCTCGACCCGGAGCTTGACGACGTCGGGCTCTTGTCCCCATAGACGGGGCTGGTGCATCTGGGGCTCGTTGAACTTGAAGGAGATGAGACCAATTACGAGCTTGACTGGCTTGCTGGAGTTCGGGGTCAGCAGCTTTCGGGTTTTCTCAAGCTTTTGATGGATCTGGCTTGTGGACAGACTTCTCACGTGTGTGGGAAAGTCGAGACCATCTTACCACCTAGTCATGCAACTGTCTTTGGTGTAGCCTTCCTAGTCGCATATACATTACACATCCGCTAGACTCAGCCAGTAGGGAACAGGGATAGAAGCCATTCAGTGCCCATGCATGAAGTCATGCTTCAGCAATCTGCAGGTGATCGTAGTCAGCTAGGGACTTCAGAGCGCTTTGCAGATGCTTCCGCTTAGCCTTGAAGCCCCGGCATGGGGTGAGTTCATAACTCCAGCTAATCCCGCGACATCTTTGGCCACAGCCTCGCACCACAGCCATAGACTCAAAGGATTGAACGCCATCCCTTTGCCCTCGATGTTCCGGGCTCCCAAGGCCCGGCGTTTCAGAAAGTTGAAGATGTGGAGTTTTTCATAAATCGTTTCGCTGGTACTGAGGCGCTGTTCGTGACGAATTCGCAACGATTGGAGAGGCGTGTGCAGTGCCACTGACTAATGCCAGGATGAGTATGTAAGTGCAGCACAGTCTCTCGATGATTCGAAGCTCGGAACTTCAGCTGCCTTCAGCTGCCCTTAAGGTTCAAACCGGTTTCAAAGATCAGGTCTGAGTCTGTCGCTTGAATTTCGCTGCCAAGTTGTCTCGACCGGGTCCATGGCCAGCCTGCCGATGTGCTTGGTTTGCTTTGGTGTTTGCAGTTTGCTCTCTCATCCTCCCTAGATTCAGCTCCTGTGCTGCTGTGACAGTCTGGGGAGCGTCCACTTGTGGAAGGATCTGTCCCGGTGCTGCTTCCCGAGCTGGTTACCGCATTCCGGTGAGAAAGTGCAAGATACCACGGCAAGTCCGGGAGCCAAGGCGTCAGGCTCCCAACTCTGCCAACCCGGAGCGGGATGTGAGAGTTCTGACGAGTCGGATCAAGAAGACAGGCTCAGCCTCAGAGCTGCTGAAGCTCTTGGGCGAGAATGTGAACAGCAAGATTTTCAACGAGTACCACATCTCCGCTACCATCGCGAAGCTCGCCAGATTCAAAGCTAGTCTCCGTGATGCCTCAACGGAACTGTTGGCTGTCATACCAGTGTTTTCAGCTCGCATACAGGACAAGGCAAAGGAACTTGACCCTCAAGGACTTGCCAATTGCATGTGGGCAGCAGCCGAACTGCAAGACGTATCGCCAAAGCTGCTGGATGCAGTGCCAGCTCTTGCAAAGAGCATACCGGTCATGGTGAAGGACATGGTTCCTCAAGGATTGTCTAACTGTTTGTGGGCAGCTGCGAAGCTGCAAGAAGCATCGCCAGCGGTACTGATTGCTGTGCCAGCTCTGGCAAAGCGCATACCGGACAAGGTGCAAGACATGGTTCCTCAACAGCCTGTGGGCAGCTGCCACACTCCAGGATGCATCGCCCGAGGTGCTGGACGCAGTGCCAGCACTTGCGAAATGCATATCTCGCAAGTTGCAAGGCATGGTTCCACAGGGTGTGTCCAACTGCCTGTGGGCAGCTGCGAAACTCAAGGATGCAGCACCTGAGGTGATGAATGCAGTACCAGCACTTGCAAATTACATACCCAACCAAGTTCAGGAGATGATTCCTCAGCACTTGTCCAATTGCCTGTGGGCAGCTGCAACGCTCTACGATGGATCGCCTGAGGTATTGAGTGCCGTGCCAGCTCTCGGAAAGTGCATACCGCGTGCGGTGGAAGACATGGTTCCTCAAGCTTTGTCCAACTGCCTGTGGGCGGCTGCGAAGCTGCAAGATACATCGCCAAAGGTGCTGGATGCTGTGCCAGTTCTTGCGAAGCGCATACCGGTCATGGTGAAGGAGATGAATCCTCAGGACCTGTCCAACAGCCTGTGGGCAGCTGCGAAGCTGCAAGATGCATCGCCAGAGGTGTCGGATGCCGTGCCAGCTCTTGCCAAGCGCATACCGGACAAGGTGGATGACATGGTCCCTCAAGCTTTGTCCAACTGCCTATGGGCGGCTGCAATGCTCCAGGATTCATCGCCAGAGGTGTTGATGGCGGTGCCAGCCCTTGCAAAGCGCATGCCGGACAAGGTTGAAGAGATGAAACCTCAGCACTTGTCCAACAACCTGTGGGCTGCTGGGAAGCTCAAGGAATCGTCACCTGAAGTGTTTGCCGTGGTACCAGGGCTAGTTGAGCGCCTCCGTCCCATTATCAGCAAACTTGCACCGGAAGGGTTGCTCATGTCACTTTGGGCAGCGCAGCAGTTTGGGGAAGACGACTTGGCAGCCAGGCTGCAGGAAGAGCTTCATCGCCGGCAGCACTGAGCGGACCTTTGTCATTGTAGCCATGCTGGGATCAGCTTTTGAGGGAGACGATGTGTAAGCCTGAAAGGCTGCCAGGTCTGTTTGTGTACATATGTCCGCAACAAAATGGCAGCGATTTTTTTGATCTGACCAACCTGGAGTTGTCATGCCGCCTCGACGTTCATAGCCGCGGACACAGTCTCTCCTGCATGCACCTGCGCCCCGACCCAGTCCTGTGCCCTTCGGGGGCACGTGCATGAAGGGGGTGTCTGCCGCCGTTGCTGCTGCTGTGAGGCGTCGTGCCTTCTATATAGATGCATGATTGTGGATGAGGATCGCAAAAAGCTGTGCTTAGAATGACCAGCACCAGTGCAGTTGACCTGTATGGCCGATGTTGCCGGGATGTCGGACACGGTTGATTCAGTGCTACTTGTTGCGCATCGGGCAGGCCCAACCACACGACCAGTCGCAGGCGAAGGCTCCTCTGCATCCAGTCGGCATGTCCGGCTGCAACCGCAAGGGCTCCAGATCAAGCTTTGTAAACGTATCCTGAATCATGAAGGTAGAGCGTCAGATGTTCAGAAACATACCTCATGGTTGGGGAGCCTACACTCCATGAAGCTTTGTGCTCGCAAGCTGTAGTTGGCAAAAATCACGCGCACACACGCGCACACACACACACACACTGTGTCGGGAGGGTTTTTCCTAAAAGTTCCGAGGGGTCTTGCAAGCTTGCAGAGGAAAACTCGAGCCTTATGTTAAGCTAAGTTATATAGTCATAGTGTTTCTTCCCGGCGCGGAGCCTCCAACACACCGGAAGCTTACTTGACTCCACCCAGTTGCAAGCCTTTAGCTCATCGCTGCATCCACAATTATCTTGTAGAGATTGTGCTTCATCTACGGCATTGTAAACAGTAGATGTAATACACATCAAGCTTCTGCCTCTTCGAGGTTCTCATCACCGCCTCAAGACTCAACGTCCGGCTGGCATCCCAAGGAGGCCCGCTGGGTCCCGGATTCAATTGGATGCCGTTTGGGCTCCGCAAAAGGCTTCAGTAGCTGAAGAGTCTTTGAGGTTTTGGCACCTATAGATCAAGGGCCCAGTGGCTCGACCTTGTCAAGACTCAAGACTCAAGAGGTTGCTGTCAGAATTGGGTTCCATTTTTGAGGGTAGCAGTGCTTCTCTCAGCTTGTCTTTAGCTTTCTTCGAGGATACATCGTTGGAAGCTTCCGGAGTGAGCAACGCCTAAATATATTGAGGGCCCATGGGTTTCACGATGTTTCACGGCATCAGGGGGCTAAGGCGGCTGAGGATCATTAAGGAGTCCGAGCCATGCTGTCCTTCAGCTACGTTGTAGGATCGTAGGATCAGCGTGTGGGATTGGATGGTAGGGGTTTGGGGACCACGCAGGCTATAATTACTGTATTGAAGCGGTCCCAAGTCAATTCAAATGCTTGCTTTCAGTTGCGGCTTTCGTTGGCATTCTCGGCACAAGCTCATGTCTGACAAATTCACTTCGTCAGGATACTGGGACTCTTCTTCTAAGCCCATGTCTGTCAGCTTCGTGGTGCCTTCACCGCGAGAGCCCCGGCAGGTTTGCCTGGGGCAGTTGCCTTCGCTGCAAGACGTGGCAGAAGGACTCGTCCGGGACAAGGGGTTTCGGATTCAGCATTTCGAAAACTCGTGTACCAGATATAATCCACATGCTTCAACTCTCAAGCCCAAGCCCCGCCAAGCATGCCTCAGCGATAGCCCCATGGAGACTGCGAATCTTCACAGGGGAGCTTCAAGACGAGATCCGCAACACCCTCATGATTTTAAGGTCCCTCGCTCCAATCGCCTGCTCCTGATATACCTTGTTGAGACGATAGGTCCTGCAGTCAGTATATTCAACAGCAGCAGCAGCAGCAGCGCGGGCATCGAAGTAATTGTGTGGTTGTGTACCCTTGTTTAATGCAGGGGCCCTAGAAGTTTGAATAGGTTTTTATGAGGAATTTTACTATAATATTACAATGATAAATAATTAATTACGAAACAGTGCTGGTTACCGCACAAGAAGAGGCCCCAACGAGCTTCCCTTTTGGTCTCGGTCCTCTAGGTCGTGGCTGTGTACGCATCGGGCCGCCGGATTTTGTCGCTGATTTGGAATTTCCGGCAAAATGCTGGCTAAGTTTGGCGTGCTCGAGTGAAGCCACTTTGCACTTTGCTGGAGCCACGAGAGTTCTGATTTCAAAGGGCATCCAGCAACAAAGTTTGCTTCAGCTCTGCCCCCCAACTGCCCCAGCAGCGGCTTGAACTCGAAACTGTTCGGCTGATGAGAGCGGTCTTGGGAGGAGTTTGCGGACAGAGAGACAGAGCAATGAAGCGCCGTGAGCTTGGGAGCTCTGCCGCATCGGGGCAAGATTGCAGGGGTTTCTGTCCGAGCGCAAGAGACAACTGATCCCTCAGTCTTCTAGCTGAGTCTACCTGGTGGCTCGGGATTTGGGTTGTCATTCTACGATGTGAGAGTGGACTTGCGTGAGTTGTACTTTTTTCTCGCTCATGGGCCATGGCCCGTGTGCGCAACTAGATGTCGATGTCGGTCGCAAGTATCTGTAATGCGAGAAGCCGCGGCAGCTCTTTCTGCGGCTCGATGCCATTGAACTTAACTGCCAGCGTATAAGCCTTTGCCCATGCGCTCCAGAAGCTTCAACACCTGCTGCTCCCTGGGCGGCAGGGCTGCAATGAGGCCGACCTTCCAGAGGACCTTGGTAGCCGTGCTCTTGGCGACATACTGGATTCACGATAACCCCGTGGTCGATTTCTGCGGCAGGGCAGCACGCAGCGATGGCCTGCAACAGCCTTCTTGGGGAGTGACAATCGCATCCTATGAGCGGAGCTTCGCAAGCCGGCTTCCTCGTGGAGTCCGAGAGCGAAGGCGACAAGCCCCGGGTCCCAACACGAATGACAATCGTGCGGCCCGACGGCTGACGGATCAAATCACACAGGCCGGCTCGGCTGCGGAGTTGTTGGCCCTTCTGGAGAAACCTTTGGCGGATGCTAACCTCTTCAACCACTTCCACATGTCTGCAGCCTGGACCACGCTGGTCAGATTCAAGAAGAGGCGTCAGTTTCGCAAGGCGGACACTGCCAGCCCGGTGTGGGCCAGGCTGTCGGCCCGGCTGTATAAGATGCTCCAAGACGATTTGCTGCCACCACGACAAGTGGCCAATGTTTTCTACTCGGTGGGCGAGCTTTTCGAGGAGATTGACAGGCACATCACGAAAGTGCTGCCAAAGCTTTGCAGAGCTGTGAGAGCGAAAGCTCGTGGCATGAAGCCTCAAGAGATTTCTAACTGCATGCTGGCAGCGGCGAAACTCCAAGATACATCGCCAGAGGTGCTGGAGGCCGTGCAAGCTCTTGCAAAGCGAATGCCGGACCAGGTTGAGGAGATGAACCCTCAGGACCTGTCCAACAACCTGTGGGCAGCTGCGAAGCTCCAAGATGCATCGCCAGAGGTGCTGGATGCCGTGCCAGCGCTTGCAAAGCGCATACCGTACAAGGTTGACGAGATGAATACTCAAGAGTTGTCCAACTGCATGTGGGCAGCTGCGAAGCTCCAAACATTTTCGCCAGAGGTGCTGGATGCCGTGCCAGCACTTGCAAACCGCATACCGGACAAGGTTGACGAGATGATTCCTCAAGCATTGTCCAACAGCCTGTGGGCAGCTGCGAAGCTCCAAGATGCATCGCCAGAGGTGCTGGAGGCTGTGCCAGCTCTTGCAAGGCGAATACCGGACAAGGTGGAGGAGATGATTCCTCAGCACTTGTCCAACAGCCTGTGGGCAGCTGCGACTCTCCAAGATGCATCGCCAGAGGTGTTGTCAGCCGTGCCAGCTCTTGCAAAGCGGACACCGGACAAGGTTGAGGAGATGATTCCTCAAGAGTTGTCCAACAATGTGTGGGCAGCTGCGAAGCTCCAAGATGCGTCGCCAGAGGTGCTGGAGGCCGTGCCAGCGCTTGCAAAGCGCATACCGGACAAGGTGGAAGACATGATTCCACAGCACTTGTCCAACAGCCTGTGGGCAGCTGCAACGCTCCAAGATGCGTCGCCTCACGTTCGTGTTGTCGCACCACCGCTAGTAGTGCGCATCCGTCCCATCATCAGCAAACTTGCACCGGAAGGGTTGCCCATGTCACTTTGGGCAGCCCAACAGTTTGGGGAGGAGGACTTGGCAGCCGAGCTGGAGGAAGAACTTCACCGCCGGCAGCGCTGAGCCGTACTGCGGCAAGGATCGGCTTCTCGTAGCAGGTCGGCATGCTTCGGGTTTAGGGTTTAGGATCCCCCACTTTTGTTAAATGGAAGTGGGGGGGGGGGGGTCGTATGTGCGGGCCCAAGGGACCACTTCCAATATCGGGGTTGGGTGATCTAGTGCCCAGAATCGGGATCCAATTATGCCCTAGGGGGGGTCAGCGCAACTCACTTCCATTTATTGGGGTTCGGGTTTGGTAATTCAATATATATATCCGGGAAATGTGAAATAGTGCGCACTGGGGCGAGACAGGGAGTGGAACATAGTGGGGCCAGTGGTGCATGCAAACATGTGGGGGAACCCTGGATTCTCATCTGGCGATGCATTGTGGGCCGATATATTAAAATAAATATATGCAGTCCCCAGGACGATTGGGCACAGGGCTGACTAGAGGTCGTGCGATTTTGTGTCGCTTTTTTTCGTTGTCCGCAAACATGCATGCACATAGACACACATGCACATACCGTTGGACTGTGCAGACGTGCCTGCACCCGGCTGTGCCTCGCAGGCATTTTGCCTCGGGATCGAGGGGCATGAGAGGGGCTTCGGAACTCAGTTCAGGCTAGGGCACATAATATTGGCATAGCCGCATTGCTTGAAGCCACTAGGACGGCAGGGGGAAGGGGTTGTAAAGCCAGCTTGTCGGCGTTGGGTTTTTTTTTATACCTCCAGCACGAGAGCCACTAGGACGGCACGGGGGACTGGGTAAGCCACTTTGACGGCATGTG